CCTTCAGGCTGTGGAGTGATGGCTTAAGTGAGGGAGTGAACCACACCCCAAGGGCGTAAACGGCGCGTTGTGCATTGTGGCCGACTGTGTTTATTCAGTTCTTTTACTGCGCTGCCCAGCATGACGAATGGACATCGGGCTTTATTTTGGATTTATACACCCGAAAGTTCTAATTAGATTTCACATCCGCTACCGCCCCATATAAGTCGGATTATACGCCGCTAAACCGTGATTATTAGTTACGTCGGAATAGCCTTTTTACCCACGCTACTAATTAACGTGTTTTTTCGCCGACGTGAAACAGTTCGTAACTGTCGTAAAACAGTACGTTCAACTTTGCGAGTACCAGGTTTGTCTAATTAAAGAGGGTTCACCAAAAACTAGAAAATGGACTATCAGTGTTTCCCACGCAAATGTCTACCGAGGGGAGAAGTTTTCAATTTTTCCTCACGTGTCTGCTTCCCTTATTTATTATGCTTGTTGCTCACCAGACGGTCATTTTATCTTTATATAGGGAGTGGATGCATGTGTGAAACGGCCTCTAAAGCTTCCAAATCGTGGCTTTCAACTTAATAGGCCAGCTGATGCATTTTTTTTCTGAAAGCAAAACTCACTTACACCATGCCATTTGCTGAGTTTGTTATTCACAAACTTGAAATCATCCCGTGTGGTATTGTCAGATAAGGACCTGTCGGAAGACGACGGCAGCCATAAAGCGTCATAGCTACAAGTGATATATGCATTAGGAATACCGATCAGGACTGGGGAGATTGGAAACGCAATTCTGGGTTATTAACCATTGTCAGTCAGTCTAACGTACACGCAGATCGGTAGAATGTGAGGTTCAAGCACGTTAATTATTAGTCCACCGCCTTACCATTGTGGTATAAACTCTGTCCTAACGTAGCCGTCGACAAATGTCAAAAGGTAAGATCCAAATTTTCTCTCCGTTTATTCTTACGTAAAAATAACTTCTGCCAAGACGGTGGCAATTATCAACTTTTCAAAAAAGGCCATAAAAGGATTATCTAAAATTCCATTACCTAATGCACCTCAGACAGTAAATATAAAGATCGGATTGAGACCATTTGCGCGCCAAACTGCAGCTGATCTTAAGCGGACTTGGAAATTGTTCAATAAAAACAGCTACTCATATTTTATGAGTAACATTCATTTACGCACAAATGTTGGCGTGTCGATCGGCCTGACTTCCGCACGGTCGAGCCTTATGTTTAACACGTACTAGAGTTGCAAATTGAGTTGCGTACAGTTTTATATTTGAAATCTTACCGTTTGTAACCTTGTCTTTGACGAAACAAACTCTGTTCTCCCTTAATTTCTAAACGTAACGAATTCACACGTTAGTTTACCATACTTTAAATGCGCTTTTGGTCATTGTCACTATTTTGGAGCTTCTGAAGTAAAGATTGAGGATAAAGAAGAACGTGGTTGAGCTTTCGGGTTGTTTAAAATGCTTTCAGCCCGACTGTTTTTTTTTTCGTCTCTGTCATAGTAAACATCGTTATCAAATAGCATGGCATTAATAATCCATTCCCCTTTCAGTCTCCCTACACGACTGGAGCCTGAATCTGTACGGCGTCAGTGAGCCACCGCCATTCCACCCTTCTCGCAACTCACCGGATTCCACAAACAATCACCGTGACGTTCACCCCATTTCACACTTGCTAGAGAAGCAACAACATCCACAGAAATCTCCGCCGTCTCAGCTCCCGAGGCCTGCACCGCGTCCGCCTCAACCAGCGGCCGTCGCATTTGAGACTGCGGACTTCAAGGATGCCTTCATGGGAGTAGTAGCACATAGAGACAATAACAACAACCACCCCTCCCCCCAGACCGCCTATGCGGCCAATACGGGCTCTTTCGCTCCCTACCAGCATCCGG